GCATTGCTGTGCGTTTGAGATCAGCCTGGGCTACACAGTGAGTTCCAGGTCAGTCTCAACTACATAGTGAGACCCTGTCATAAAAAAACCACCCCCCCAAAAAAAAACAAACAAAAAAACCTCAAAGCTGACACATACTTAGTGTCTAACTCTGTGGTGGGACTTAAATGATAATGAGCTAAGTAGTCTTTGAAATTGAAATGTACTGAGTATCTATAATACAGGGGCCACTGTTGTCTTGGCTGGACCCTGCCCACACTGCCAGAGCACTTACTGTTGGCATAATGTGGGCACTTTGCTTTGCAACCTTGAGTTCCTAGCTATACCCTTCTCTGGGCGCTACCCTCTGCCATCCAGACTACAAGATCCTCATGGCCAGGACATGACTCTACACCACAAACCCTCTCCCCAGCTTACCACCTGACACCTCGCTGAGAGCCTACAACTGAGTTTCTAAGTTCAACAGCTCCTTCGAGGAGGCAGCTCATTTCTGCTTCCTCTAGCGGGGGGAGGGCAGGGGGAAGCACTTCATACTGGGCTCTCAAGAGGAACAGCACAGAACTGTAACAAACAGGAAGCAGCACAGCTGACTGTGGGTGCCTGGGGAGGTCTCTGGGAAGTGCAAAAACCCCAGAATCAGGGGACCAGATTCTACTGCCATGCCTTCCGTGTGATTCCACAAAGTTGCAGACATGGACCCTCAGTTTGCACATCTCTAAAATGGGGACAACTGGAGCCTCTTAGTGCTGTGTGAAGATGGAGAGCTTTATGGCCCAGTGCTCTGCACACTTTCTATTCCCCAGCCCTCAGCAAATTCTTCTGGGTTGTGTCAGCCTTCCCACACCCTTTCCATCTGGCTGCCAACTTACACTGCTTGGTGAGGGCAATGCACTGCTCCTCTGACCAGATCCCCTTGTTGGTTCGGGAGCCGATAGATGGCTTCACTTTGACACAGAACTTTCCCACCTCTCCAGGGATTGGGAGGGTGAAGTTTTCATGGTCTACCATCTGGCTTGACTGAAATAAAAATAATAAGACACATCCTCTTACATTATGGCACACAGAAGCTGACCTTTGAACTACACTTTGAGACACTGGGGGGGGGTGCTTTAGAGATGGCTGTGGCCAATGCCTTCAGTCTTTTTTTTCTAATATAATAAACCCCATGAGTGTCAATGCAGCCCAACCTGTCAGTAATCTCCATAACTGGTTTTGTATTATTACAGAAAAAGGAGCTTTTTGTTTTGTTCTGGTATCCAGGATTGAACTCAAAACTTTTGCATTTGCGAAGCAGGCAGCGGAACCACTGAGCTAAATCCCTGGCCCCCTAGGGGATTCTTTTATTAAAGCTGAAGTTCTTTGCAGATGAGGCTGGATAAACTGTGGCGAAGAAGAAAGAGGATGGATTTTGCACATTCAAGATCTCCCACTCACAAGGGTGTCCTTCCGTAGGTTGCACAGCCTCATTTCCCCATTAAGAAAATGGAATGGAGTACCCACTGCCAGGAAGTCAGAAACAACAGTTGTCACTTGTTTCATGTGCATGGCCCATACTGGTAGACAGTGTCTTCCCCACTTTCCGGCAGGAGCTCATATTTGAGGGCTGATGTCATGTAAACTCTCTCCTCAGGATGTGACTCTACTCTGTGCAGAGTAGCTCATAGCACATAAAGGTTATTCCAGCCCAGGGAGCAGGGAAGCCTGTGGAGCCTCAGCTCTGTGGCCTTGGGGGATCCCATACCTTAAAGCTTTCTGGCACTCTGCGAATGGCAATCTCGTACTGGCGGAAGTGAGTGAAGATGCTTTCATATGTGTCACCTGGAGGGGCCACCTGGGGTCTGGGGAGCTGGATCATTCCGAAGATGAAGCCCTCATGCATCTCTAGCTTCACACTGTCAACCTTCAGAGTCACTGAGGAGAGGAGGGGAAAAGCTCTGAAGCCAAGGGCTAGGGAGAACCTGAGCATCCCATCTATGTCTTGTTCTGGGGTCAAGCTTTACCCATCCTGAAGACAAGGCCACAGGTTTCTCAATCCACTCCCATACAGAAACTTCTCAGGGAGAATGTTCAAATACAGATGCCCTGGGCCTACTCAGGACACAGGGAATCTGAATTTGTCAGGCTGGGCCCTAAAAATATATTTTTTAAATACACTCTCTATGAAATGTCTCCGTGGCCAGCTGAACAATGGCATGTGAGCAGGCACTTGAGAGCGAATGACCTCCCAGACACTGGCTCACCTCTGGATCCTGCAGAGTGAGCTTATGATACACACGTGGTTCAAGCCCAATGTGTGGAATAGAGGAATCCCAGAGTTCAGGGATCACACTTTCCTGTAACCTCTCTAGGAAGAGTCCTATCTTTTTTTCAGTCATACCTTCCCACGTCATAAAGGTACTCCTAGGAATTGACCCCTAGATGGGGAAGAACTCATCTAAATTCTACCTACTGATTGCTGCCCTGAGTGCTTATGGATTTGTTTCCTCTCCCCAAACTTCCAAGTTCACCAGCCTGGCCCTTGTGACTCATCTGCCTTGATCCACCCCCAAACTTCTCCTCTGTAGGATAAACAACTACAGTTCCCCTTTAAATCTCAAACAATTGTGGCTAATTTCATCTAACCTTCTCCAAAGTCCTGACTCAAGTCTGTTTAGGCTAATAGTTCCCGGATTAGGAAACCAGGCTGTTGTGATTGGCTCTAGCAACAGAGAGAAAAGCATCATACTAGTTTCTGGCTGGGGGAACCCAAAAGCCATGCTCTAGGTCAAGGGGAGGAAAAGTACCATCATCCACAGAGAAGCGGGTATTGGCCAAGGTCCAGTTGGAGAATCGGCTGCCATCCACTGTTCGGACTTTAGCCCGGTAACCATTGCTTCGGTACAGGTGCAGAGTGTACATGGTGACATCACAGCACAATTCCGGGGCCTGGCTACAGTGGGGAAGGGACTCCCATGGGCTTCTTCCATACCTGAGGATATATCAGGGTAGGCACTGAGGGAGAAACCTAAGCCCAAACCTACTTCCTTTAAAAGGGCAGCAAGGGTTTGGGGCAGTGAGCTCCCATAATGGAGAAATTGGAACAGCCTTCAGGGGATTTCCTAGGTCCAAGGCATTGAACGGCACAGTCTCCCTTGGTTCTGGGGCCCTATACCACTCTCTGAGATCTAGAAGACTCTCTGATGGGCATACGAGTAGCTCAAGTGCCATTTCTCCAGAGACCTGCTAGCCCACCCCACAGCCTATGCTCTCCCCTCTTCTAGCTACTTTTGCAGTCACGAGGGCTTCCCCATTCTCCTGTGATACTCTGTCTTTTCCTGCTTTTCTAGTAAAATGGAAAAGAACTTGAGGGTAAAGGTAGTATTTTGGCCTCTCACTCCAGAGTATCCAGCATACTGCTCAGCACAGATGAGACCAAACAAGTTCTTGTCAACTGAGTGGACATGTGTTAGGGTCCCTTCTAGTCTTGCCTCAAAAACAGGGCAGGTATGTTCTCACGAAAGGGGAGCAGTAGGGATGAATCCTCTCTTCCCACCTCCCTTCCTCCATCTCCTCTTTCCTTACCAGTCAAGCTGAACCTCATAGTAGGTGCTTTCAGACTGATTTGAGATGGGCAGCCAGCAGAGGAAGTGCTGGAAAAATTCTGCTTTAAACCACACCTCTGGAGGCTTGGGTAGTTCTGAGCCTGGGGAGAAAAGTGTCAACATCAAAGATAGCAGAAATCACCCTCAGGGACAATGAGGAGGACCGTGATGGTGGTGAGGATTGTAATTCATTTACTGGGTAGCTTAGGATAAGCTGAGCACTGTGTCTGGTGCTTTACAAATGTTCCATTTAGTGATCACAGCAGCACTGCACGGTAGGCATGTATTATCTCAATTTTTACTAAAGAGAAATGGAAGCTCAGAGAGGGTAAGTGCCTTGCCCAAAGCCAACAGAGCTGGTAAGGAGCAGAGCAGGGATTTACACTCAGAGGTGTCTGATTCCAAAGCTTGTGTTGGGACCTTACATCACTCCCTTGTGCTGGCTATGCTCAGAAGCTGCAGCAGTGGCTAAGAAGAACAGCTGGATGGGACACTTCCCAGTGGAGGAAGCAGGGGCCCAGGGCTAAGGCATGTAAGAAGTGAGCACTCAGGTGAGCTAGTCCTTGGTTCTTCCCAATTCTTGTCCTTGCTCCAGCAGCACCCCAAGGCCTGCCTCCCACCTCTACTCCTAGTCCCTGTCCTGGCCCCATTCCAAGGCCACCTCTTTGGAACTCTTCAATACACTCATGCCTTGCTTGTTGACATTTGCCTATTTCTCTTCACAGGTCTCCTGTACTCCCTCATTCTTCAGCTTCTACAAAGGCTATACTTATAGTCAGAAGCCTAACTCAGTCTGGGACAGGACAGACAGAATGAATTAGCCCTGGTTCTAGACTGCACTGAGAACATCTCCAGGCAGAGCTAGCACTATGGGCTCTAAGGGCGATACTAAATTCTAATCTCTGTTTCTACCCTGCAAACCCCTTAGCCCCCCAACATACACCACTCATCACGAGAAACACTACCTCCAGGAACCTCAAACTAGCACTTGTCAGTGTGATGCTGAACCCATCCTCTCTTCTGTAAGAACACAATCAGTACATCTACTTTAAGAATCTTGCAGGGCCGGGGATTTAGCTCAGTGGTGCCACAGCCTGCCTTGCAAGAGCAAGGTCCCGAGTTTGATCCCCATAAAAAAAAAAAAATCTTGCTGATTAGGCAGGTGAAATATATTCAAGGACCACAGCGAATGGGTTCCCTTCTCCTCTCCTCTTTTCCTTTTACAGTTCTGAGGGTTGGGGTTGATCTAGGGGTGCTCTACCACTGAGCTATGTCCCAAACTCTTTTTATCATTAAGTTTTGAGACAGCATCTTGAGATGCCCAGGCTGACATCAAACTCTCAATCCTGCGGCCTCAGCCTTCCCAGTAGTTGGGATTACAGGTATGAGCCGCCCGACCCAATTCCTTCCCTCCCTGATTCCCTAAATTGTCTCTATTTGAAAGCAAGTCTAGTCCCAAATCTCTTGTTCTCTAACTTCTTGTCAGCTCTCACATCATGCTTCTGACGTTCTCACAGAATACATATCTGCCTCTTCCCTTCTTTTTTTCATATACTGTGTTTGAGCTGCAAGTCTATCTTTCCCTCTCCTTTCTTGCCCTCCTTCTCCTTTCTTTCTCTTTCCTCTCCTCCTCCCTCTCTCCTCTGCCTCTCCTTCTCCTCCTTCTTTTCCTCTCCCAATACCCCTCCCCTATCTTTTCTTTCTGACGGGGTCTTTCAGGTTGCCCAGACTGGTCTTGAACTTGCAGCGATTCTCCTGTCCTAGCCTCCTGAGTAGCTGGGTCAACAGGCAGCAAATGTTGCCACATTCAACTCAAGTATATTTCAATTACAAAACATCAGATAGAAAGTGAAAAACAGTCTTTGCAGTGTTTGGGCACATCCCCATTTCAGCTCTCGATCACATGAATGACTGCATATTTTCCTTTGTATTCTGGGGTCAGGATAGCTCTTTTTCGGTAGTCCCCGTTCACACAACCTCTCTCTTGACCTCTCCAATTTCCGGCCCTTTCCTTAGCTCTTCTTGGCTTTTCAGCACCAGGAATTTAGTCTAAGCTAAGGGGTAGGGGTTAGGCTGAAGGAAGGTGAGTGACAATGGGTATGAGCTGGGGCCTGAAGACTTTCAGGGATGATCGGCGGGGGGTGGTCAGTTCTCCGAAGGAGAGGGCAGGGATGGAGTGAGATGAGAAGGCTAAGAGAGAGGACAGTTAGAAGAGGATAAAACTCATTCCCTAGTGGGTACAAGCAGTTCCATCATCGGAATCAGAGAAGCAAAATGCATTGTTTGTCGAGAGGTGGGTGGGTGATTAATTTTTTCGGAAGGGGGATGGGGCTGGGGACCATCGGCTGTGCATACACATCTCTGTCCACCTCTCCACCCCTGTTAGTTTCAGCCTCTTCTACTTCCACAACAAGTGAGCCTGAAACCCAGTCTTGCCAGTGTGAAGGAGCGCCGGCTGGGAACAGGGCAAGTCACAGGTGCGGAGAACTTTCAAGGAGGAACGGGGACCGGTCAGACTCAGGTCTGGCCACCCACACGGCCAGCGAGGCGGTCGCGGAGCTTACCGTGCGTGCCGGGGCAGAGGCGCAGGCTGAGGAGCGCCACCAGAGGCACTAGCAGGCGCCGCAGCATCCTGGGACCGCCGCATCGTCCGGAGCTCGCAGCCCACCTCCCTCCGCGGCTCCGCAGGGCTAAGACTGAAGATTCAGCGGCTCTGGGCGCTCCGGGCCAGGGCTGACGTCATGGGGCGGGGGCTGTGGACGCCTCGCCCCGAAGTCCTGGCTTCCGGGATCCTGTGCCCCGAGTGCGGGTTCTAGGGCTCAGGACCTTCCGAGACCCAGAGGGGGCTGCGGTCAGCTCTGTTCTTCTCGCACTTGACTCCCCTCGGGTCAAACTGGTCTGGCTAGCTAGACCCGGTGCGCGCTCGCGCTCGTGTCTGTCTACCGCTGAGTGCGGAAGCTGGGTGGAGGGTGAGTTGATTTTACCCGGTCAGTGGGCTGGGGTGTAGAGCTGAGACCGAGCCGCTGTAAGTTGGGGAAGGAGGCTGCCCGAGGCCAGGTGTGCGAGGTCACGAGTGTGAGTCTGGTGATCTCTGTGCGTGGCTCTCAGCTAGACCTTGGTAAAAGCAAGCTATCCCCTACCTGGCTTAATATTTTTCGAGGGATGCCCACCACATCTCCCAGCCCGTTGTGTTTCCCTTACCTTGCCTGAAATCTCACGGTTAGAGCTCGTGACAGTACTGCTGGAGGAGCTGGTAACACCAAAGTACACCTTCAGTCACTAACACATCTTCCCTTCTGTGTCGCTTGGCTCAGCTGAGACTTCTGTCCAGGTGCACTAAAGATGTATGGATATCGGAGACAAACTATGTCCACCTCTCACTTTTTATTGGAGAAAACACGTGCTATCAACCATGTGTGTGCATACACTTGGGAATGTTCACCCATGTGCTTGCATTCACACGGGATTTGCAGTAATGAGTTTGCCTGGATTTGGATTCAACTATGTTGAGCAAGTGCCTGTGGATCTGTTTGCCAGGTGCATATATAAACTGGCATGGGAGTCCTGCCCTTGCTTTCAGAGGACCTAGGTACCAAAGGGGCATTTTTGCCATGGCTTGTGGAGTTGTGAGCCCTGTTGAAATGCTGTCAGATCTCTTCTCGGCCTTTTGGCTAAGATCAAGTGAAATGCTGTGCGAGCACAAGTCTGTGCCCATCTACCTGGACTGAGAGTGAGTCAAGCTGGCTGGGAGTGGAGGTCCCATCTGTGCCTGAGGGTGCACACTAAGACCAGAAAGAGCTCTCTCTGGATGATAGTTAAAGGCCAGGATACGCCAGCTAGATGTATAGAGAGTGGAGTGTGGTATCTGCAGGCCTTGCCAGGACATGTGATCAGTCAAAACCACCCTCAGGAGGCAGCTCTGGTTACCACACCCTCAATCAGCTGGGATGGAGAGTTCCAGGTTTTTAAAGTGTGAGGATGTATTTTGCACTGTCTGTTGTTCAACTGAGAAATGTAGATGGAAGATTGCTCAGGAGTACCTGGGCATTATGCTTCTGAAATGATTTCTTAGTTCCTGCTAACCTTTTAAAGGAGGACACTATGAGATTTCTACCTCATCTTGTCATTATGAACCTGACATTGTGCTAACTCTGATGTTGCCCATAAATAGTGGTCAAAACCACATCCCTTTTTAAACACTATTATTTTTATTAGTACGTTTGCAGAACATAGTTTTCACATTATCCTGGAGGAGTTCATTCATGTACATAACCATTTTAATTCTTTTTTAATCCCTTCCCTCTCCCTCTCCCTCCAACTCTTGTTCCCCTTCCTATTTGCAAAAGGTCTATTTCCATTTTTCTTCAATTCTTTTTCATTCCTTTTCCCTTCCCCCCTTCCCCTTCCCTCCATCTCTTGCTCCCTTTCCCACTTGACAAAGATCTCTCTACTTTCTATACTATCTTTTATTTTGCTCTTTATTTTTGTATTTTTATTTTCTCATATAAGAAAAACCATGTGATATTTAAGCTTGTGCTTTTGATTTATTTCACTTATTATTCTTGAGGTGTATCTATTTTCCAACAAATGCCTCAGGTTGATGGCAGAGTAGTACTCCATTTTATATAAATATTACATTTTCTTTATTCATCTGCTGATGGACATATAAATTCTTTCCAGGATTTAGCTAATACAAATCGTGTTGCTATAAACTTGGGTATACCTATGTCACTGTCATATGATGTCTTTAACTCTTTCAGGAAGATACCTAGAAGGGGAATAACAAGCTGGATCAAATGGAATTTCTGTTTTTAGTTTTTTGAGGAATCTCCATATTGATCTCCATAGTGGTTGGACTAGCTTACATCCCCAGCAACAGTGCAGAATGATTCCTTTTTTCCCTCAGCCTCATGAGCATTTGTTATTATTTAATTTTTTGATGATAGCCATTCTTTCTGGAGTACGATAGCTACTCAGTGTTGTTTTAATTTGGATTTCTCTAATGGTCAGTGATGTTGAACATTTTTCATGTATTTATTGGCCACCTGTACTTCTAAGGTGTCTATTCATTTTGGCTGCCCAGTTTTTGATTGCACCTTTTATTTTGGGGGGTAATTGTTTTGAGTTCTTTATTCTGAATCATTGGTGGCAAACCTATGGTACACGTGCTGCACCAGGCTGTTTGTATCATTGAAAGCTCTGAAAGGTTCACCATCACTATGAATCTACACGTCAGTCTGAGGAAGAGCTGTCAAAATGTTTCCCATTCTGAAGGTTGTCTCTTTACTCTGCTAGTTATTTCCTTTGCTGTACAGTATAGGGAACAGGAAAGAGAACATGATGAGAATCCTTGCAGTGGGTCCTGGTCTCCTGTGAGCCACAGTAGCACAATGATAATTAAAGAATAAAGACAGGAAATGAGACACAGAAAAAGCTTGTCCTGAGACCTGATCACTGCTGCTCTGGGCAACAAAGACAAAGGCCTCCAAGCGTATCCATATTTATCGAATACAACCATAGGAAGGAATAGGGAGCAGGGTGTGCTTTGAAGGCATCTAGTGAAATACTGCTGAACACCTGGCATGATGGTGCTAGGCAAGGCTGGAAGGGAGGAAGCACTGCTTATCTTGCTGGGGTAGAGCAAACAGGTGCTGGGACTGGATGCAATTAATAAGCAACCCATTGGGTCAATGAGAAGCTATAATTCGGAGGAAAGGATTTTAACTGAGGTCATGCTGACCTCAACTGCACATAACTCAGCAGAGCCCTGCCACTTCATAGACTGAGGCCTAGGTTTTGTGGCAGCCATTTGGGGAGGGGCTATCCTTGCCTGGTCCATTATCTGACAGGCCCATTTGAGTCATGTGGGGCTTCAGTCTGACTCCTGATACAAAACAGTATAGCTGAATTAAGGAAAGCAAGAAGCATGTGCCACTCGTAGTCCACTTGTACTGTGCAGGGATGTCTGCTACAGCACAGAAACTTTTTAATTTGATGTGATTCAATTTGTTGATTTTTGATATTATTTCTTACTGGAGGCTGATCAGACCCTGTGATACCTGGAGGTGGGATGACAGGGAATAAACAGAATACAGAGACAATATTCAAGGTACAAAGGGACTGGAAGGAGCCTGCCTCCAGTGTATATTTTTGGCCCCTCTGTCAAAGATCAAATAGCTGAATGTGTCTGGGGTTGTTCCAGCTTCCTCTGTTCTGTGCTATTGATCCACTTGCCTGTTTTTGTGCCAGTACCATGCTATTTTTAATCACTATAATTTGTAATATAACTTCAAATCTGGGATTGTGATGCCTTCTGCTTTGCTATTGTTACCCGGAATTGCTTTTGCTATTCTAGGTCTTTTCTGTGTTGAGAGCCATTCTACATCAATTATGGGGAAACATCATTTCATAATTAAAATACAACTATAGTGTTTAAGGCCCAATGTCACCTTACCCAAGAGCTGGCTATGGCGTGTGGAAACATAACTCCTCTTTGCCTTTTTCAGTCATAAGTTGAGGCTTCAATGGTCCAGTGATGCTGTGGCACTCAAGGATGAGATATCAGCTGAAGACATCCTGACCCTTTGAGAACCAAGTAGTAATACAAAAAGAGAGAGGTTTCACCTGATGAGGGACACATTTCTAATAAGATTAACTCATCTCACCTACTATTGTAAGAATGCTCTCCTTATAGCCCTCATCAGCATAAGATCCTCATGACCTAAGATCTTCATCAGCATAAGATCCACATCTAGCTAGGATTATTGTGGTCCCTTAAGTCTCCTGATGCTCCCTTCAATTTTGTGTGTACCCAATCAATAGTAGCTAGCTTGGAGAGTCTTTGTGCCTACTCTGAGGCACAACCTCTTGGCCCCCCATATACTTTGAAATTATGCATGTCTCTATTGTCTTTTTTTCTTTAGCCCTTGCCATCTCCCTTTTTAGGCAGTCAGAGGATTGGTCACCCTCTGATACCAATATATATTGTCTCATTATCTCCATGGAGTGAGGAATATTCAGAATAGGAGAAATGCTAGGTATATGATTGCTATATCTTAAAAAGTGGAAAAATATTCTACATCTGTGGTTTGGCTGGTGTTCAGTTTCTGTGTTCTGACAAGCCCACCCTAAGATTTTGTAATTTCTGATATTCACAGCAGTGTTGAAACAAATGGTAGAAAGTATTCACAATAGTATCTTCTATTTATTGAGTTCTTATGGCTTATCAGGCACTATGCTAAAAACATGTTATAGCAGAGATTAGGCAGTTTCCTCACAAGCCCATTTCCTCTTCTTGAATACGTGTGAAGCAACTCCATTTCCCAGTCTTCCTTGTGGTTGGATGGAATATGTGATAGCTTTAGTCAATTAGAAGTTGAATTGAACAGTGCCATATCTGGGCCTGGCCTCTGTCTGTGCAATTCTTTCAGGTATTTGAAGGAACACCAGGGCAGGACTCCCAGGTAGTGGAAGGATTTAGGTCCTTAAATCATTTCTTGGAGGAGAGCTCTGCTTCATCAGCCTACTAAATGGATGGGAAATGAACCCTTGTTGTATGAAGCCACTGAGACTTGGGGATTTTCCTTAGAAGAGCTACTGTTGACTACCTAGCTTCACCTGCAAACATTGCCTAATTAAATCTTTATTTCTCCCTGGTGGGATGGACATCATTAACAATGTTTTGCAGATGGGGAAGTGAGGTCAGACACCAAGTCACTTGCCATTGTCCCTCAGTATATGGCTGAGTTTAGCC